GTAACTGGTAAAAAGCACCTTTTATCTCTCCTTTATAATTGAACAGGTGTGAAGTCTATAAGTGGTGTTACAGGCAAACTTTCTTTCCCCCCCCTTATATTATCCTTGCCCCCCCCCCATTTTTCTCTCCATCTTCCTTTTCCTTTATCTCTTTGTTCTCTACTCCTGCTGTAAGTACTCACACATAATGCTTTCTACAGTTCTTTCGGGGAACCGTCCAATGTTGATATAATTATCTCCCTCACCTAGAATGCATTATTGGGATTAAAGAAGGGCTAATTACTTTGTCATCTTGCCAAGGGAATGTTTAGATTAATACGGGTTCATTTAGTCTTCAGTTTTAAAGTGTTTCTATCGCCAAAACCTTTTTTTTTCTTTCTTTAGTTTAGAATAAAGTGGGTACGGATTAGAACTCCTGTCAGGTTTTACTGCAGTGGGAGATTCCTTCCCTTCTTGTCTGGTAAAAAGGTTGTCCTCAGGACAGGAAGTGAGGAGAAATCTCTCTAACAGCAACACAGAGAGAATGATTTTTTTTAATTTTTGTATTTTTTATATTTTTTTTTTAAGTTCAGTAGGAATGCTAGAACTTCTTTCAACTTTTTTATTGTAGTCTGGTTTCCCTATTGCAGATTTTCCCTTACCTTACTGTCTGGTTAAAGCGGAACTCAACTGTGTCTGAGCACCAAAAACTGAAAACATTAAAAATGAATGAAATAGCATTCAAAGCCAACTAACCCATCCATCCATGTCTCCATGCTTTATCTAGTTGGGAAAAAGTTTGAAGTTTACCTTCATAACAGGGTGCTGTGCAAGGGCGGTCTGATCATTTGGAAACTCAGGCACTGCCCGAGGGCCCGGGGTCAGTAGGGGCCCCATGAGATGCCCCTGGTACCTTTTTCATAGGCTTTTTTGAGCAGGGGCCAGGGCACAGGGGCCCCTTGATCCCCTATTGGCCGGGGGCCCCATGAGTTGTCAGTCCGCCCCTGACAGTGTGTAACATGTTATGAATACACCAGCCCCCTCTCCCCCGCTTTGACAGCTAACGGGGATCTTCTCTCCCCCCCCACACAGCTGCGTCATTCATTCACAGTGTTCTGTGAATGAATGAACTACAAGTTCCGACAGCTTTAGCGGCTGTCAGTTTGTAGTTCTCAATGAACTGCCATGGCGCTGTGGTAGTTCACTGAATCTTCATTGAATCTTCCTATCGGTTTATCTGCTTGCCCATACATCACGTACGAGCAGATATACTGACAGACCTGCAGGAGATGTGCATGGCACCAGCGAGCTGCAGATCACTACAGGCTCCTGCAACCAAAAATAATAAATGCACTTTTTTTTACCAGCAAAAAAATGTTCATGTATTATTTTTGGTAAAAGGGTGAACTTATCCTTTAACCCCACCCCCTAGCATTTCTAGTTGCCGCCATCTTCAGTAAGGGCAGATGATTCCTGGCAGTATTTACTTCCTGAAATCCATCTGTCCTTTGTTCAGGTATGCAGGCAGCAGGGTGTGCTTAGCTAGCTGGCCATCGGGGGATAACATCATCCTTTGCATGCTCATGGGAGTCAGTCATTCTGACACAGCCAAAGTGTACCAAGAATGTCCGCCAAGCAGGGGCGGACTGACAACTCATGGGGCCCCCGGGCAATAGGGGATCATGGGGCCCCTGTGTCCTTGCCCAAACTCAAAAAAGCCTATGAAAAAGGTACCAGGGGCATCTCATGGGGCCCCCTACTGACCCCGTGCTCTCGGGCAGTGTCCGAGTTTCCAAACGGTCAGTCCGCCCGTGCCGCCAAGGTGCACATGCGCAACTCAGTGTACAGTCAATAGAATACTACAAGCAGGTAAGCGTGTATTTATTGCGAAAGAGATATAGCATGACTCTTCTGTAACAAAGAGCTGCTTGCTCACAGTTTTCTAAAGCTTAAAACGGAGTTACACCTAATAAAAAAATAAAGGTCAGTAGCTTCAAAAACTGTAACTGCTGACTTTTAAAATACAGACACTTACCTGTCCCTCAGTCCCGCGGTGTCCTCACCACGGCTGGTTTCACCGGCCGTCTTCTCTCCCTGGCGCCGGCATCTTTAGTGTGGGAACCCGGCTCTGACAGCTTGCGGCTTCACAGCCAGGTGCCCACAGCGCATGCGCGAGAAGCGCTGTGCTTTGTGAATGGCTCCGTAGTCTTCTGGGACCTGTCGTGTCCCAGAAGACTGGGGAAGGAGGGGGGGGGGGGGGGGAGGACAACTTCCGCTTCCGATCTCTTAAGCGATCGCAGCGGAAGTGGGTACCCGCTCCCCAAAGGTGGCAATCCTTAATGGGGAGCGGGGGACAAAGGCTTAAAAGCGGACCTTCACCTTTTGGGTGGAGCTGCACTTTAAGGTTGTCCCCAGAACAGGAAATGGGGGAAATCTTTCCAATGGAGCCCCAGATAGCAGTAAAACCAGAGAGAGGTTCTAATCTTGCCCCATTCTATTTAAAAAAAAAAAATCTGGGTATATAATATATATATATATATATATATATATATATATATATATATACATACATACATACACACATGACTTTGTGGTTTCCTTTCATTCTGTACACATTGCTGTATGTTTACAATTCGTTAAAGATTGCATGAAAAGGAGACGTCATCTGCCGACAAGGGAATTGCCATTCAGATGAGCATTGAGCATCTTATGCTGAGACGGTTCACCTCCTTACAGCCGCATTGCCTCCCCCTCCTCCCATAATTCATTTCATGCATCGCGATGTCCGGCTATAAGTGTTTAAACACCACCGAGCAAAGTAATGTCTGTGTGACTGTGCTCCAATCACCAGCATGATATGAATACCCAATTATCTCAATGTCCACTTAGGTCACACATGAATTGTCCGGAAGAGCCATCTCCACCGCCCTATGGAGAAGTTCTGGCTGCAGTGTTTGCGGCTTCCTTTATGATGTTTCCCCTATGCACTACATGACCGCAGAGGCCTTAATGGAGACAGGTAAACGCCCTTCACTAATAGACAAGTCTAAATGCACCACCAAACTTACATTTGTTTATCCTAAACCCCAACTCCCTCATAAACACATAGAAGAAAAAAAAGGTACATCAATATTTTTTTTTCTATGTGTTACGTATAGATCTATACATTCAATACTGGCCCCTCCGGGCTGACCCAGGTGTCCCCATACCAGGACAATAACCAGTGGCCTTACTATGTGCTATTAGCGGGGAGGTCAGTTATATTCTTAGATTGTAAGTTCCAAGGAGCAGGGCCCTCCTAACCCTCTTGTATTGAACTGTATTGTTTTATTTATCACAGGTACTTATAGTGCGCAGTCAATTTACGCAGCGCTTTACATATATATTGTACATTCACATCAGTCCCTAACCCTCAAGGGGTGTACAATCTAAGGTCCCTAACCCTCAAGGGGCGTATCTAAGGTCCCTAACCCTCAAGGGGCGTACAATCTAAGGTCCCTAACCCTCAAGGGGCGTACAATCTAAGGTCCCTAACCCTCAAGGGGCGTACAATCTAAGGTCCCTAACCCTCAAGGGGTGTACAATCTAAGGTCCCTAACCCTCAAGGGGAGTACAATCTAAGGTCCCTAACCCTCAAGGGGAGTACAATCTAAGGTCCCTAACCCTCAAGGGCGTATCTAAGGTCCCTAACCCTCAAGGGGCGTACAATCTAAGGTCCCTAACCCTCAAGGGGCGTACAATCTAAGGTCCCTAACCCTCAAGGGGCGTACAATCTAAGGTCCCTAACCCTCAAGGGGTGTACAATCTAAGGTCCCTAACCCTCAAGGGGTGTACAATCTAAGGTCCCTAACTCACATTCATACATACACATACTAGGGACAATTTAGACAGGAGCCAATTAACCTACCAGCATGTCTTTGGAGTATGGGAGGAAACCGTAGTACCGGGAGGAAACCCACACTGGCACAGGGAGAACATGCAAACTACAGGCAGTTGGTGCCGTGGGTGGGATTTGAACCAACAACCCGAGTACTTCCAGGCAGAAGTGCTAACCACTTAGCCACTGTGCTGCTATTGTTGTATTATCTCCCGTTATATTGTAAAGCTCTGAGCAAACTGTTGGCGCTATATAAATCCTGTATAATAATAATATCCCTTAATTTTTTAGTGGTACCAATTAGGGCCTCAGTATACTATTATTAATCATCATATACTTTTTACATACCAGGTACTGTCATGGGGCAGGTGACTCGCCCCTCCATTATTGCTGGGATCCCCTCATCAAGAAGGGTTTTATTGAAAAGAAGGAAAAAAGAGCAATTCCAGAACAGATCAGCGTCTGAGGACCGCGACCTGGTAATAACAAGCAGCAAAACGCATCTCCCCCCATCAGGGGCTCCGGTGAATACTGGATAGTGCTTAGACCCTGCACCTTGGGTGAGCCCACGTCATCCACCAGGGTGACCTACTTGTATACCAATCCTGCTGGTCGGTGGGAGCCCCTCTACTGCTATAGCTACTGGTCTCTGAGTCTGACCCCTAAGTGTGACACCTACTTAAGGGGTAGTGTGCAATTCCAGTGGTTGTTGGGCCATGCAAGCATATAACATCTTTTCTAAGGAGCCATATATCTGTCATTGATGTGTGAGAATCATGGTGGGACCCAGCATCCCTCCCACCATTCCCAAGGCTAGACTTGGCTGTCCCTGGCTAGCACTCCTAGGTGCAGGGGCGGACTGACCATTTGGAAACTCGGGCACTGCCCGAGGGCCCAGGGTCAGTAGGGGGCCCCATGAGATGCCCCTGGTACCTTTTTCATAGGTTTTTTTGAGTTTGGGCAAGGACACAGGGGCCCCATGATTCCCTACTGCCCGGGGGCCCCATGAGTTGTCAGTCCGCCCCTGCCTAGGTGTATAAAATATACAGTGGATCTTTCTACCTTTCCAAGGCAGAGACAGAAACTGATTCTGCGACACTCACAAGAAGATGCCATTCTGAGTGCACCCTGTGCAGTCACTTACCTGGGATACATCTGTTCCAGGCTGTTTAAGGAGTTTAATTGCCCTGCCTCCAGTTGTCCTGTGCCCTCGGCCGTCATGCCAGGTTAGGCTGTTACCGATATCACGTCGGAGGCGATGGTTAAGGTTCTCTGCGGACACCGTGTGTTCCAGGAGATTCCGACAAAATCTGAAGTGAGCGGCAGCTGCCAAAAGGAAAAAATGTGTGATCTTACTATACGTACTGGAAGCTGAATAAATACTTATGGACATCTTTATTAAGTAGTAAATCTACTTGGGATAGAGGCATTACCACCTCAAAAATGCGTAGCCCCCTTCATGCCTCCTGGCGTCTGATGTCACAAGGTCTGTTTCCATGCTGTCAGATCAGCTCTCCAGCTTGTGAATGCCTTTGATCTGGTGGGTCCTTCCAGTCCTCCAACTGGATTTTTGCTGCACTATCTAGGATTGCTATCTGATGACAGCTTCAGATTATCTGACGGGGGCCTTTATTTCTACTACATGTGAGTGGCCTATATTTTTTTACCAATACAAAACATCATACATCATACTGCACTTAGATTGTGTTCTCTGGTTGTCCTTTTCACATCATTTACTGGCTGTTCTTCTGAATAAGATCCCGACGCAGACCGGTCTGCTCAAGAGCATTTTTGAGTTCATTAAACATTCTGATACAATGTTTAATACCTAATAAATGGGGATTTTGTTTTGGTCCCCGAAACATGTTGGTTGCCTTATGCTTTCTTGCTGTCACTGGTTAAATTATTAAAAGTTTTTTAACTTCCGCATCTTGTTTCGACCTTGCTTTAGCCAATTAGTTACGAGGAACCTTATATTACCTCTTTATAGTTCATCACAACAATAAGCCTTTTTGGCTGCAATGGACTGTTATGCATTGATGGACTAGGGGACCACTCACATCATTCATGCTCTGAAGAATGTTGCACTAAGGTAGCCCATTTATTTCGACTGAGCAGTTGACACAAGAAAAAAAAAACGTATATGCAATGTGTTTGGCAATGCAACACACCACAACGCACACAGTGTTCACATCTACGCATTGTGATGTGCTATTGGCAGGTATGTTTTTTTTAGGACTGTATATGTGCCTTAGGGTGCAATTCAAAATGAATGACAGTGCACTACAAGACAAGTACAGAGACAGACAGACAGATAGATAGACGGAGAGAGAGAGAGAGAGAGAGAGAGAGAGAGAGAGAGAGAGAGAGAGAGAGATATATGGGAGGGATAGATAGATAGATAGATAGATAGATAGATAGATAGATAGATAGATAGATATGGAAGGGATAGATAGATAGATAGATAGATATGGAAGGGATAGATAGATAGATAGATAGATAGATAGATAGATAGATAGATATGGAAGGGATAGATAGATAGATAGATAGATAGATAGATAGATAGATAGATATGGGAGGGATAGATAGATAGATAGATAGATAGATAGATAGATAGATAGATATGGGATAGATAGATAGATAGATAGATAGATAGATAGATAGATAGATATGGGATAGATAGATAGATAGATAGATAGATATGGGAGGGATAGATAGATAGATAGATAGATAGATAGATAGATAGATAGATAGATAGATAGATAGATATGGGAGGGATAGATAGATAGATAGATAGATAGATAGATAGATAGATAGATATGGGAGGGATAGATAGATAGATAGATAGATATGGGAGGGATAGATAGATAGATAGATAGATAGATAGATAGATAGATAGATAGATAGATATGGGATAGATAGATAGATAGATAGATAGATAGATATGGGATAGATAGATAGATAGATAGATATGATAGATAGATAGATAGATAGATAGATAGATAGATATGATAGATAGATAGATAGATAGATAGATATGGAAGGGATAGATAGATAGATAGATAGATAGATAGATAGATAGATAGATAGATAGATAGATATGGAAGGGATAGATAGATAGATAGATAGATAGATAGATAGATATGGGAGAGGGATAGATAGATAGATAGATAGATAGATAGATAGATAGATAGATAGATATGGAAGGGATAGATAGATAGATAGATAGATAGATAGATAGATAGATAGATAGATAGATAGATAGATAGATAGACAGAGTTGGATGTGGGTTGTCATATTTTTTTTTATGTATAAGTTTTTCTTTATCTTGGCCACCAGATCAGCAACTATCAAACAATGACCTGTTATACCAGCTTTGATACATGGCACTCTGTAAACAAGCAATCCAATTTCCTTGCAGTGAAGGAGACTGATTACACAGTTTTATACAGCCACAGAGAACAAAGAAGTTGTGTTTTCCTTCTGCTCCTGCCTAAATCTATTTTTAAAGTGGTGCCTTAGGCGTGAAAATCGACTACGGGGGATGGAACTTGTAAAAAGAAGCAAGGCGCAATTTGCATATTCATGCAAGAGATGTGCTACACTTTCGGCATCGGATCGCATGTTCTTCAGCGGGAAAAAAAAAAAGACAAGATGAGACAACAGGTAAAACGCATGACCTGACGGCGATAGCCAAGAAGAATTGCATCAGTCCTGTTAGCAAGTGTAGTCATTTTACCCTTAAAGCTGCACTCCATCCTCAAAAACGTCCATATATTCCTCAATACCCATAGAACACGGGTGTCAAACTGGCGGCCTCCCAGCTGTTGCCAAACTACAAGTCCCATGAGGCACTGCAAGATTGACAGTTACAAGCATGACTCCCAAAGACAGAGGCATGATGGGACTTGTAGTTTCACAACAGCGCGAGGGCCGCCAGTTTGACACCCCTGCCATAGAGGATATAAATCCACTTGTGTGTGCACAAAATGCATTTGGAAACCCAGATATTACTATGTAAAAGTAGCAGTGACACCAGCAATGGGCTGTACATAGCCTGTAGAGAGAGTAGATCTGTGGCAAGGACCCAGCAGGCTCCACCCACTACAGGCTGCCTGCAGAAAACTACAGGAGGGGGCGGAGACAAGACCATTCACTCTGCTTAAGCAGATGAGAGCAGCAGTGAGCGGTCTTTATTACAGGAAGTGTCACAAAGCACTCCAAGATTCAAGAATACACGACTCTTATACGTAGACGATATTCGTTTATCCCAAGGTTCAGCTTTACATGACCAATTGAAAAATTACATTTAGATTTTGGTTGATGCTGGAGAGTTAAAGTAGAATTCCAGCTTTCAGTTCACTCTAAATGGTTAATTTCAGACAAGCTGGGCCAAACAAACTATTTCCATTGTGCAATGATGCGGCTGCTGTGTGCGTTGCATTGTATTGTAGTAGCATTAGCTAGATACAGTAAGCGGCGCTGTGCTCCAAAAGGGGTGCAGGCAACTTCCCGTCTGCCGATTTAACCACTTCCTGCCTGGCCAATGTATATATACGGCCAGGCGGGTGCTCTCCAGTTCCAGGAGGACGTCCTCGCAGAAGGACATGCAGTGGCGTAATCTCTGATCCTCTGTTTAGTGGACACAGCGGATCACGGTGCTCAATATCAGGCCACTGCGGTTGACCCAGGTGCCATGTGATTGCTGTGACCAATCACATGATAACAAGTAAACACAACTGTCATGAATGGCTTTCATTCATGACAGCTTGCTTACTACTGTGATCTCTGATCAGTCACAGTGATCACATGGTACAGGGCCAATCACAGTGCACCAAGTGATAGCTGTAGCCAATCACAGCAATCACAATAGTAAACAATGAATCGTGAATGACAGCCATTCATGACAGTTTAAACGATTGCTCTTCAATAACTGCTCTGATCATTACTGTAATAGCAATCATAGTGTAAAAAAAAAATCCAGAACACCTTTCCATAGTACAGTGTCACTATGGTGACACTGTAGCACAGTTGTGCTCAACCTTTTGAAGAGTGAGGGCCACTTAAATGATCTGGTAACTGGTCGCGGGCCACAATGAAATGAAAAAGTGTTAAAAACAGAATGTGACAGGGAGGCCACGTGGCATGAGGCAGGATCGCCTGACGCTACACCCAGTGGTTCATGGGGATGTGATAAAAACACACCTCAACTATGGGGGTTTTACTGCCCCTCAAACTGCAAATGTAAACAAGCCAATACTATCCTAATCTCCCTTTATGGCTGTCCTGCGGATTAGCTGCACTTTGCCATAGAATTGTATTATATCTTGCAGGTGTGGTGCACTTTCTGAAAGCAAAGCAAACCAAACCCGGAGGGTGTAATAGAAATGCGCTTCCCTGGTTTGAGGTCGAGGGCCACATCAGATGGCTCCAAGAGCCGCATATGGCCCGTGGGCCACAGGTTGAGCACCGCTGCTGTAGTACTTTAGTGAAAGTATGTAAAAAAAATAAATGGAACTTGTATTAAAAAAAAAATGTGTGTGTATATATATATATATATATAGAAAGAGCAGGGCCCTCGATCCCCTCATGTTTTGCATTGTATTGGTATTGTTCTGTCACATGTTCTGTCCCCCTCTGTAATGTACAGCGCTGAGCGAACTATTGGCGCTTTATAAATACTGTATAATAATAATAATAATATACAGTGAAGGAAATAAGTATTTGATCCCCGGCTGATTTTGAATGTTTGCCCACTCACAAAGAAATGATCGGTCTAAAAATCGAATGGTATGTGCAGGGGCAGACTGACAACTCAATGGGCCCCCGGGCAATAGGGGATCATGGGGCCCCTGTGTCCTTGCCCAAACTCAAAAAAGCCTATGAAAAAGGTACCAGGGGCATCTCATGGGGCTCACTACTGGGCCCTCAGGCAGTGCCTGAGTTTCCAAATGGTCAGTTCGCCCCTGGGTAGGTATATTGTAACACTGAGAGACAGAATAGCAACAAAAAATTCAGCAGAAATGCATGTCTAATAAATGATGACTGATCTGCATGTTCATGAGGGAAAAAAGTATTTAGTAGTAGTAGTAGAAGAATCCCAGGGTTTATTCACCCTTCCAGACTGCACACTATAGGATAGACTGACCCTTTAATTCTTTCCTTTTGATGGAAACCCACTAGAATCTGTCACTGCTGCAATTCACCAATCAGTCCTGTAGTCCTGTGCTCAAGTCTGCTAATCCTGGATCTGAAGGACAATTAGCGGTCCAGCGGACAGCAGTATCTCTGTAATGGGTGCAGAAGACTGTAGTAAAATAAATGGA